GGGGGGACGGGGGGCATGGGGAGGGGATGGGGGTTGGGAGGTACAAGGTGGGGATGGGGAGTTTGGGGGGGGATGGAGGGGGTTTGGGGGGGACAGAGGGGCACGGGGGGCACGCAGGACGGGGGACCCACGGGTGGACCCTGTGGGCTCCCTCACTGTGGGTGCTGCTGCTGGTTCTGGAGCTGGTGTTTCCAGCAGTGGTTTTGGGGCACACACACGATTTGGGGGGACAGAGGGGGATGTGAGGTGCTGGTGGTCCATCCCCACAGGCTGGTGGATCCACGGGTGGGCCTGGGGTGGTCCCCCTGGGCCCCCACACTGTGGGTGCAGCTGGAGCTTGTGCTTCCAGCAGAGGTTTGGGGGGGGACACACACGATTTGGGGGGACACGGGGAGATGTGGGGGTGCTGGTGGCCTGTCCCTGCAGGCTGGTGGACCCACGAGTGGACCCGATGTGGTCCCGTGGTCCCCCAAACTGTGGGTGCTGCTGCTGGAGCTGGTGCTTCCAGGAGGTGTTTGTGGGGACGGAGGATCTGGGGGGCCCTGGGGGGTGTGGGTGTCTCGTCCCTGCAGGCCGGCAGACCCACAGGAGTGGGTGCTGTGTCCCCCACACTGGGGTGTCCCCACTGCTGCTGGAGCCGGTGCAGTGGTTTGGGGGCACACGCAGGATTTGGGGGGGCTGTGGGGTGCTGACAGCCTGTCCCCACAGACTCGTGGACCCCCGTGTGGACCTGGTACGCGCCCCCTGGTCCCCCTGGACCCCCACGCCGTGGCTGCTCCCGCTGCTGGTGGATCTGTCGCCGTGGCGGCAGCGGCTGCAGGAGCTGGAGGCGCAGCTGGACGGACACACGGACACCGTGTTCATCGCCGACTTCCCCGGTGGGGCCCGGGGGGGGGCTGGGGGGTCAGGGGACAGGGCACGGGGCACAGGGGGCTGGGGGGGCTGGGGGGTACAGGGCGCAGGGTGGTCTGGGGATAGTGGGGGGTTTAGGGGTGTCCTGTCAGGGAGCAGGGGGATCCCAGGGACTCAGAGAGGGTGGGAACCGGGCACAGGGTTTGGAGGGGGGCACACAGGGCATGGTGGGGTCCCAGGAGTTGGGGTGCAGGGCATGGGGGGTCCTGGGGATTCGAGGTGGGGGGTCAGGGTACAGGGAAGAGCTGGGGGGGGTGGAGTACAGCCAGTTACAGGCCTGTGTGTGTTCCAGGCCTGCACCTGGAGAACTTTGTGAGCGAGGACCTGGGGAACACGAGCCTGCGGGTGCTGCGGGGGCAGGTGCTGGTGGAGCTGGTGGAGCAGCAGCAGAACCACTCGCTCCAGGAGGGCCAGGGGATGCAGGTGAGGCTTGGGGGGACCCCGGGGGGCTTGGAGGGTGCCCGGGGGTGCTGACCCCCCCCCCGCCCCCCAGCTGCCAGCAGGGCAGTACCACAAGGTGCACACGGTGTCCCCGGAGCCCTCGTGTTACATGTACCTGTACGTGAACACCACGGCCCTGGAGCTGGAGCGGAACCTGACGCGGCTGCGGGAGCTGCGGGACCGAGTGCGCAACGGCACCGGTGAGGGACCCCCGAGCATCGCACCCCGGGGACCCCAGAGCCTGGGCATCGCACCCCTGGGACCCCAGAGCCTGGGCATCGCACCCCTGGGACCCCAAATTCTGGGCATCTCACCCCTGAGACCCCAAACCCTGCACACTTCACCCCTGGGACCCCCAAACCCTGGGCATCTCACCCCTGAGACCCCAAATCCTGGGTATTTCACCCCTGGGACCCACAACCCCTGGGCATCTCACCCCCTGGGGGGCACTCAGGGTGGGCAGATCACAGGGACCCCCCAATCCCTGGCACTGCTGAGCAGTGTGGAGACACACAACCCCCCCACCCCCCCAAATCCCTGTCAGTTCAATTCCTGGGTTCACAGGGACCCAAAAACCCCATCACCTCTCATGCTGGGCAGCACCAGGGGCATGGGGACCCTAAAATCCCTGTCACCTCACCCCCATGGTGGGCACCCAGATGTGGGGGGGACTGTGGGGACCCCAAAAGCTCCATCACCTCAGCCCCTGTTGAGCTGAGGGAGATCATGGAGGGCCTCCATTCCCTCTGACTGGGGTGGGGGGGACCACAGGGCCCCCAAAATCCCTGTCATCTCATCCTCTGGTGAGAACTGAGGTGGGGGGATCAGAGACCCCCAATCCCTGTCCCTGGGGTGGGGAGAATCATGGCAACACCCCCAGTTTCCATCACAAGGCTGGGGGGATTACGGGAACCCCCAGTCCATCACTCGGGTGGGGGGGACCATGGGGACCCCCAAATTCCCTGTCACTGGGGTGTGGAGATCATGGCGACACCCCTAGTTCCCACCAGCAGGCTGGGGGGGATAACAGAGACCCCCAGAATCCCTGTCAGGGGGGTGGGGGATCATGGGGACCCCCAGTCCGTGTCACTAGGGATGGGACATCATGGCAAGCCCCCCATTCCCTGTCACCGGCCAGGGGGATCATGGGGATGCCCCAAATCCCTGTCAGTGGGCTGGGGGATCACAGGAACCCCAAAAACCCCCCCCCCCCCCCCGCAGAGCGGTCCCCGCTGCCCCCCGAGCTGCGGCCCATCCTGGGGGAGCCACCCCCCGCGGGGGTCCCGCTGGACCCGCTGGTCTCGCTGTTCCTGCGGCGGGAGCAGCGGGAGCAGCGGCGGGAGCGGGAATCCAGCCCGGCCCAGCGCCTGCGGCGCTTCCTCCGCAGGAAGTTCTTCCTCTTCCGCCGCAGGTGAGCCCCCAGAACGCCCCCTTGGCCCCCCCCGCCGTGCCCCCCGCGCTGACCCCTGTCCCCTCCTGTCCCCCCCGTCCCCGCAGCGCCCTGATGACCCTGATCGCCCTGCGGAACCTGGCGCTGGGCCGCCCGGACCCCGAGCGCCTGGCACAGGAGGTGGCCTTCGCCAGCTGGCGCGGAGAGGAGGAGGAGGGGGCTCGGACCGAGGGCGAGGGAGGAGCCCGGGGGGGGGCCCGAGCTCTGAGCACCCGCAATAAACCCTGTTTTTTTTAAGCCAAAAATCCTCCCGTGCCTCAGTTTCCCCCCCCCCCCCCCCTTCCCCTGGTATCCCTGTTTCCCCCCTCCCCTCTAGGTTCCCCCTCCACGCACCATTTCCCTCCATTCCCCTTCCCCCCTCCCTCAGTTCCCCCCGTACCCATTTCCTCCATTCCAGGTCCCCCCAGGAAACCCCCTCGGTTTCCCCTGTACTCCACTTTCCCACGTGCCTCAGTTTCCCTCACACCCCACTTTCCCCTGCACCCATTTCCCTCCCTGCCCAGTTCCCCCAATACTCGTTTTCCCTCTGTACTTCAATTCCACCCCTGTGCCTCAGTTCCCCCCATACCCATTTTCCACCCCATGTCCACTCCCCCCATGCCTCAGTTTCCCCTAATCCCTCGGTCCCCCATCCCTACTTCCCCCCTGTACCCCAGTCTCGCCCTGCCTCAGTTTCCCCCCTGCCCGTTCCCCCCACACCTCAATTTCTCCCCCCCATTTTTGTGCCTGTTTCTCCCATACCCCAGTTTCCCCTGTACCCCAATTTCCCCCTCACCCCCATTTCGCCCCATGCCCGTTTCCCCCCGTACCCCAGCTCTCCCCCCACCCCCCCGAACGGGAGGCAGCTCCATCCAACCCATCACTTCACTTTTATTGAGACTTTTTGTTTTTGAAGTTTGTTTTTTGGACTCGGTGGATCGAAACATTCGGACGAAACCTCCCGAAAATAGTAAAACCACGAAAAAAAACTACTCGGGGGGGGGGAGAGAAAGCCCCCCTGCCCCCTCCCCAAGGCACTTTGGGGGGCCGTGCCGGGCAGGCAGTAAACAAGCCGGCTTCTCTGTACCACACCGGCCACGGGCGCCGTGCCCGGGGGCACCCCCAGCGCTCCAACAAACCCAATTCCCCCCTGTTTCCCCCCAAACTGGTGGGGGGGGTGGGGGGAAGGCAGGGGGAGGGGCGGGGGGGCTTTCAAGGGGTCAGGAGCTGCCGGCTGAGTGTGGGGGCTTCTCTGTACTCACGCCCCCACCTCGGCACACAATAAATACACCAAACCTTCAAGTATCGAGGGCCAAATCCTCCCCTTTCCCCCCAAAATTCAGACAAAGCTGGGGGGTGCCCCCCCATCGGTGGGACGGGGGGGGTGGGGGAGGTTGTGCAGTTGGGGAGTCGCTTCAGCTTTTGGATTAAAACCCAAGAAAAGAGAAATGTAAAATATTTTCCTCCGGTACCGAACCCTCGGTGGGGGGGAGCTGGGGGGGTCTGGGGGCGGGTTTTAGCGTGTCCCCCCCAAAATGTGCATTTTTGGAGCAAAAAGAGGTTAAAAATGAGGGTTAAGAACCAAAACCAGCACCAGCGAGGTCCCAGGGGGACGGGGAGGTGGAATGGGGTGTCCCCCCCACAATGGGACTGGGGGCTGTGGGGGGGACGACTGGGGGAGCCAAAATGGAGGAGTTTTTGTACCCCCCCCCTGCAGCAGGACTGGGGGGACAGTGGGAGCTAAAATGTGGTGTGTGTCCCCCACAGCAGGGGATGGAGATCCAAAATGGGGTGTCCCCCTGATGTAGTGGAATTTGGGGCCAAGGAGGGGGTGGGGGGACACAAAATGGGTGTCCCTCCCTGCAGCAGGACTGGTGGGACCCAAAATGGGGTGCCCCCCCCTGCAGTAGGGGGAGGCTGGGGGGGGCACTTGGGGCCTTTTTTCCCATATCCAAGGTTGGAGTCAGATGGGATTTGTTAAAAACCATCCGGAGGGATTTGGAGGGACACGGGGGGGCCCTGGGAGAGGCACATGGTCCCCACGCAACCGAAACGATGGCGAGAGAGAGAGAAAAGGAGGGGCTGGGGGGGGGCCGGGAGCTCTTCCCCCAGAGCCCACGGGCTTCTCTGTAACCTACGCCCGCGGGAGTGGGGGGAAAAGCCCTAACAAGGCTCTTTTTTCCTCAGTATTTTAGTTTTTTGGGCACTTCCCAAGGGAAACTGTCCCTACCAAAGTGGCCATAGGCTGCGGTCCTCTGATAGAGGGGCTTCTTCAGATCCAGATCCCTGGAATACACAATTCCCGACTCAGTGAGGTGGCCCCGGGGTCCTGCCTTCGCCCCTTCCCTGCCTGGCCGGGGGGTCTGCAGCGGCGCCTCCGTGTCCCCCCCACCCCCGTGGGACGGTTGGAGCTTCCCGGGGGCTCCCCCCGAGCCCCCCAAACGCTCCCGGCCCCGGGGAAGCTCCAAGCGCTCAGCTCCGGCGGATACTTACCCGGAACACGCCTCCTCCTGCGGCCGAGCAGCTCCGCGCCGGGTCCAGGGCGCCAGGCGGTCCCCAGGCTGCTCCGGGAGGGACCCCCGCCCACCCCGGCTCCCCCCCGGCGCGGCCCCCCCGCGCCCGTTACCTGACGATGACCCCGGGCCGCAGGTCGAAGTTCTTCTTGACGATCTCCAGCAGCTCCCGCTCGCTCTTCTGGGAGGTGCCGTAGTGGAAGATGGAGATGGACAAGGGGTGCGAGACCCCGATGGCGTAGGAGACCTGCAGGGGGGCTGTGGGTGAGGCCAAGCCCCCGCCTGGACCGGCCTCCCCCGGATGGCCCCCCCTGCCCAGCACCCACCTGGACCAGCACCCTGCGGCACAGCCCGGCCTTCACCAGGGACTTGGCCACCCAGCGCGCGGCGTAGGCGGCCGAGCGATCCACCTTGGTGTAGTCCTTGCCCGAGAAGGCGCCGCCGCCGTGGGCCCCCCAGCCCCCGTACGTGTCCACGATGATCTTACGGCCCGTCAGCCCCGCGTCGCCCTGTGGGGGACAGCAGTGTCACAGCTGCGTGCCGGCACTGCCACCAGTGTCACCAGCAGCGCGGCACCAGCGGCACCACCACCACACCATCGCCGCACTGTCACTGCCACCACCACACCGTGACTGCTACGCTGTGACCACCACTGTGCCACCACTGCCACCACCACAAACACGCCACCACCATGCTGTCACCACCACCGTGTCACTGTGGTCACACGGTGCCGCCGCCACGGTGCCCTCGGCCGCACCTGGGGCCCGCCGATGACGAAGCGCCCGCTGGGCTGCAGGTGGTAGATGGTGTCGTCGTCCAGGTACTTGGGGGGCACCACGGCCTTGATGACCTTCTCCTTGAGCGCGTCGCGCATCTCGTCCAGACACACGTCCTCGTCGTGCTGCACCGAGATCACGATGGTGTGCACCCGGATGGGGATCACGGCCCCGCGGTCCTGCATGTACTGCACCGTCACCTGCCAGGGGACACGGGTCAGGGGCCGGCCGGGGGGAGCAGGGGGCTCCCCAGGGGTTTGGAGACCCACCAGCACCTCACCTGTGTCTTGGAGTCGGGGCGCAGCCAGGGCAGGGCTCCGCTGCGGCGCAGCTCGGCCAGCTTGGCGTTGAGCTTGTGTGCCAGCACGATGGTCAGGGGCATGCACTCCTCCGTCTCATCCGTGGCGTACCCGAACATCAGCCCCTGCCGACAGGGATGGGGGGGTCACACCCGAGCCTGCTCACGCTGCAGGGTCACCCCAGCCCCAGTCACACTGCAGGGTCCCAGCCCACCCCACTGACCCCGCGGCAGCCCCGCGTTCATCTCACCTGGTCCCCGGCGCCGATGTCCTCCTCGCTGCGGTCCAGGTGCACGCCCTGGGCGATGTCCGGGGACTGCTGCTCCAGGGCCACCAGCACATTGCACGTCTTGTAGTCAAAGCCTGGGGGGGAGGCTGTTGGTGAGCCCGGTGCCACCCCTGTGCTGCCACCCAGCCGGGGACACCCCGGACGCACCTTTGGAGGAGTCGTCGTAGCCGATGTGCCGGATGGTGTCCCGGACCACCTTCTGGTAGTCCACATTGGCCCGGGAGGTGATCTCCCCTGCCAGCAGGATCATCCCGGTCTTGGCCACCGTCTCTGCAGGGACAAGGTGACGTCAGAGCGGCGTCACCACTGGCATCACCCACCCACTGTCCCCCGGTGCCCCCACTCACCACAGGCCACCTTGGCATCGGGGTCCTGCTTGAGGTGGGCGTCCAGGACGGCGTCACTGATCTGGTCACAGATTTTATCTGGGGACACGGAGAGCAGGAGGCGTCACAGTGGCGCGGGACAGCCCGGCCCGGCCCAGCCCAGCCCTTCCTTCCGGAGCCTCCGGCACAGCCCAGCCAGGATCCAAGATCCAAGCCCTGTAATCCCTAATCTGTATGCCCCCCGGGGCACAGAGAGTCCTTGCCTTGTTCCCAGCCTGGAATTCCAGGCATGTCCCAGTTAAGCTTCAGTCCCAGCAGGGCCAAAGGGATCAAACCCGTATCCCGACTTCCCAAATCCAGTTTCCAGTAGCTCCGGATGTGCCCAATGCCAGAGCTGCTCCAGCCATATCCCACCAGACACCCAGCTCCCTCCTGCTCCCAGGGGGCTTTATTTGGGATGGGGGACACCTCCCACCCGCTCCCGGGGTGTCCCAAGGGCCATTTGTGTGCCCGGGACTGCGGATGTCCTTGGCAGCGACCTTCCAGGCAGGACTGGGGGGAGGATGAGGCAGCGCACGGTTGAGGTGAGCAGAGGGGGGCCCCCCAGATGGTTTTTGGGGTTGAAGAGTGAGGAAACAGACTTGGCAGCTTCCTCCCTCGTGGCAGTGTGGGGGGAGCCCCAGAAGCATCCCCAGAACAGCCACACGTTGCGGGTGCTGGAGCCAGAGGGACCAGAGCTATGGAGTGCTGTGCTCGAGCAGTGGGTGCTGGAGCGTCTGGAGCTGGTGGGGGGCTCAGGAGGTGCTGGAGTGCCCGGAGCTGGGGGGTGCTGGGGGTGCCGGGACAGTGGGTGCCTGAGTGCCTGGAGCTGGGGCGTGCCGGGGGTGCCCAGGCAGTGGCTGCTGGGCACTGGCAGCTGCCTACGCAGATTAACAGTCATGTGCCCCAAACCGGCGAGGACAAAGGCGGGGGGAGCCCGGCACGGGCTGGCACCGAGTGAGAAAGCTCCGAGCCCCCACGGGAGCAGTGTGTGACCCCCTCCGGCTTCGGCTGGGGG